GGGGGGTCGTGGGAAACCTGGTGCAGCTTTGTTTCCAAAGGTTCCCCATTGCCTCGGCAGATCCGGAAAGTGTTCCGCAGCATACGCAACACGCTGCCAGAGATCACGTACGTCTTCCTGCTCTTCATGTTCAGCGTCCTCATGTTCTCCCTTATGGCTCTGAAGCTGTTTGGTGACAGGTGAGAGCGGTGTTCCTCTCCGGAGTTCCCTGGGTTGTGGGCTTTAAGTTTTGGATGCAAGAACATCTACCAGATCCTGTAGAGGACAAAATATGGCGGGGGAGGGGGTGTCAAGAACTGCTGAGAAATCAAGATTGTCCTTATCTGTGGGTACTTCGTATTCCTAAACAATAAGGCCTTAGGATATGACTGCCATGTCAACTGCTCAACTGCCACTCTGCAGTAATGATAGAGATGCAGCCGTGTTAGTCTGATCTAGCTGAAACAAAAGACAGGACTATGTAGCACTTTAAAGACTAACAAGATGGTTTATTAGGTGATGGTCTGGCCCATGAAAGCTCCACTTCGTCAGATCAATTTGTGGAAGAAAATTGGCACGACCATATATACCGAAGTGATACAATCTAAAAAATGGACGCATGTGAAATTAACAAATCAGGTTTCAGAACAGAGTGGAGAGGGGGAGGGGAAGGTTAGTGTCTGTGAGGTAACGACGTTAGGGGTGATAATTGGGGAAGCTATCTTTGTAATGGATGAGATTTTCTTCCACATTGATCTGAGGAAGTGAGTCTGGCCCACAAAAGCTCATCACCTAATATGCCATCTTGTTAGTCTTTAAAGTGCTGCATCGTCCTGTCTTTTGACTCTGCAATAACTGTGTGTCAGTGACTTGCTGTCTGTGTGTAACAGCATGGTGCCTCTTTCTTTTCAGAAATCTCCAGACAGTGGAAGGATCCCCATATTTTACGAACTACCTAGAAATTGTGTTTGATATGTATGTGCTGGTGACGACAGCCAACAGTCCTGACATCATGTAGGTACCCTGCACCTCCCATGCCGGGCAGTCTAGGCAGGGAAGTGCTCTCTGAGCAGCAGGGAAGCCCTGTATCACTCATAGAACTGGAGCGGCTGTCTTGGGCCTGCCCAGAGCTCACGGGAGCCGGAGGAGAGCAACCCCCCCAATCTGTTGCTATATTTGACATACAAGGATCTTTCTGTTTCCTGGATCCGAAATTGAACCCTTGCTGATGTCCAGGTGGTAAAGGCTGTTCAAATATTGCAAACAGCCCTGTACTTCGAAAAGCCTCCAGGTGCTGTGTGATCCCACTGGTGTGGACAGACCCTGCACTTGGGGAGGTGAAACATTTTTGCTTTGACAAGCCCCACACTCCATAATCTGTACTGCAGGGGAACCATCGCCTCTTCCAGGCAGCACTCAAGCCCTGTTCATGGTTCTTTAGCCTTTAATTCAGAGTTGAATTTATCAGGGAGAGCATCTTCCTCTTCCCTCTCCCACTCCATCATTGCACAATAGCTTTAGGACAGAGACCTAAAGAGCACTGTGGCATGCAGTGCCCTCTGCTTTCCACCCCGGGGCCAGATTCTACACTCTCCACCGCATTAGCAGTTGTGTGTGAGCTTCCGTGGGGAGAATTTGGTGCAGAGCATGGGGCTACATTAGCAGTTGTGTGAGAGATTCTGTGGGGAGAATTTGGTGCAGAGCATGGGGCTTGTGCTTCTTGAGAATTTCAGACTGTGCTCAAATGCTGCATCCAGTGTTGTCTGTAAGGTGCACTGTATCCTGAAACCGCATATGGGAACGGTCCCTGAGGTTTTATTGTTCTGTATTGGGGTTTTCCAAACTTTTCAGCCATGGAGCCCCTGTGGGATCCTGAAAAATTGATGGAGCCCTTCAAACACTGTTTTTTGTTTTTTAATTCAATAGGTATCCAAATAGACAATGGTTTGGCATTGCATTTTTGTATCTTGTATAGGGTTTTTTTGAAAAAACAATAAGATCAAAAAATTAGTACCAAAATAACAGGGTCTTACAGCTGTCATTATTTTCTCGTGGAGCCCTGGGACTCCACAAAGCACACACTACAGAACAGGAAACCCTGTTCTGTATGAATCTCTGCTCTCACAGTCTAATATAAAGTTACTAAAGCCCCTCTCTCCCTGTCTAGGATACCAGCCTATGACATCAGTTGGCTGTATTCCCTGTTCTTCATAACCTATGTAGTAATCCACACCTACCTCTTCATGTCTGTCTTCCTGGCTGTTGTGTACAACAACTACAAGAAACATTTAAAGGTAACGTGTGTGGAGATCCGCATCTGCTAAACTCGGCATAGCAGTAATGTGACTCTGCCCATCCCTGGATGGAGCACTCTGCTTTACAAACGTCTTGTTTCCTCTTCTGGTCCTGCCCGTCTCAAGGGTGTTTGAATCTAATGCAGGCAGCTTTGGGGCGTGAATCTGGCTCCCAGTGCTAGGTCACCAAATCTGTCAGACAATAATTGGTGTGTGTGTGTTTGTTTGTTTGTCTGTCCTTTTTGGCACTAGAAAATGTCAGGTGGGGGTTGGGTTACCCAGTTTAGAACCCTACATACAGTACAGCTGTCAGATGCTGGTATTACCTTTATTGGGAGCCCTTGGACTGGGGCTGTACTGCAAAGTGTGTGTGTGTGTGTGTGTGTGTGTGTGTGTGTGTGTGGATTCTACAAGGAAAGGATCCTCCAGTCAACGTGTTGCAGCCAGCCACTCCTCCTTTAATCACTTGCTGATTCTGAACCATCCTGTGGAGCAACTCAGCGAGGTTTTCCTGTCACTTGATGGTTATACGTAGCATCCACCAGATCTTGGGGTGACTATAAGCCTGTCTAGTGCTTGCAATTAAAGGGCTAAAGCTGAGAGTTCCAGTGAACTTTCATAAAGAGACTAACTTCCCTCTTGTGCCTGGTCTCCTCCCAGATGCACTCACAGGAAACCACAAAACCTAACCCTGAGTGCAGCCTCCTGGGCAGACTGCCTTGTGGAGGTAGCTGCCACTTTCAGAGGCCTCCCTTGTTAGTGTTGATGTGACGCCTAAATCAGTTCCCTCCTCTTCTCCGACTTGCGGGCTTTCCGGTCTGGGATAAAACCTCTGATCTCCTCTCCATTCTGTCCATTACATGCCAATGCCCTTCCCCGCTCCACAACGGCACACTGTCCTCCAAGGCCTATTGTGAGCCAGGCAGACTCCGAGTCAGTGTCCCATGGGACCCCACTCTTGCAGTGAGCCTACCTGGATATGTTGAAAGTTTTTGATACTGAGCAAGAAATAGGGGCTTGTGATAACTCTGCAGTGAAGGGCAGGGCAGGACCTCCATGGTCGCCTGCTGCAACTGCTCAGTGTGCTAGATGTGTCACTCTAGAGCTGTTAGTCATTATGTTGGCCAGGAACTTTGCTCTTGGTGCATCTTCCTGAAAAGTCTTTGGCACTCTAGTATAGCAATCCAGGACTAAATATGGCATCCGTGAATATTCCAAAGCTACATTAAGTGGGGGAGGGGAGGGAAATAAACTCTCCATGTGGCTGAAATCCATCGTTTTCCCCAGAATGAGATCTGCAAACTTGCTTACATGAAACGTCGCAAGATGGTTGAAGCCTTCAACATCCTAAAGGTCAAGGAGGGCCCAGAGTTTGTGGTTAAGGAAGCCCAGTGGAAGGAACTCGTCAAACGGGTGGCCCCAGATATCAGCACTTCTCATCGAGAGCTCCTGTTGAGAGTATCCGATGACGAACAAAAAGGCTATGTGGGTGAGTAGCAATCAACAGACCCGTGTTAGGGAGGGGTGACTGAAGTAGAGGAGAACCTCTTGATTAGATGGTGTCATCTGTATTTACAGTGTGCTGCATGTAACTAACTTGAAGCAAAGGCTGAAAATCTACCCATCCGGTTATTTGGCTTGGCATGAATTGACACTCAACCAGGCATATCCTGCTACCTCACTTATAAGCTTGCTGCAGGCTGTTTATTCCCCCCCCCCCCCTGCTTATGTATGGAGTGTCTTGTAGAAGTTTGAATTGGAGGGCATAAAGATAAAGGCATGGAAACATCTCCAAAGATATTTGGCATTAAAAAAAAAAAAGTTCCTTTTCTTACAGATGAGGAAATCGGATGATCTTGAGCTAAAGCCAGGGTGGAAACTCTACTATGGCTAGGCATGACGATTGAACCCCAATGAAAGGTGATGATCTTGAGCTAAAAAGCCAGGGTGGAAACTCTGCTATGGCTAGGCATGACGATTGAACCCCAATGAAAGGGGTTCAAAAAATAACCTAATTGGGGAAGATTTCTTGCTGTGGGTTTTCTTGTGCCTTCCTCATGAGCATCTCATTCTACCCACTGCTAGAGAGGGAGCTCTCGTCGCATGCAATCTGGAAATTCCAGGTGTGCTTTCCAACGTTCTGCCTCCGTCTAGAAACGGGGATTACTAATGCCAGAATTTATTTCCAACAAACTTCACAATTGTAACCTGTTAAATAGAAGAATGTTAATGGATGGTAACCGCTCACCTGTGCATGTGTGAGGGGACCACTACGAGCTTGCCCAAAGATTGGCTGCCTAAACATGAGGCTTAAAACTTGGCAAGTAAGGAGTGAAAGGAGTCTTCCTGAGTCCTTTTCCCTCCCCTCCTCCCACTGTAAGCCTCTTTACTGCTTCATGCCACAGTGCCTCACGCAGGCTCCAAGGGCTCTTAGCATGTTTGCCGGTAGTCTGGATGAAGGAAGTGCCCTTTTTGCCCAGGTGGACAAGTCCTGTGCGTCCTCTGTATTGCAGTGAGGCCAGGCGAAGTGCTGTATTTTTGCAAATGAGACCTGCCACCGCCGTACTAAGTAGGCAGGCTAACTGGCGCCTCTCCTGTCTGCTGCAGACAAAAAGTCTTTTGTGCGCCTGGCAGACCTTCTGAACATCCAGGTGATTGCGATGAAGATACAAGCCCACCCTCTGGAGAATTGGATGCCCCGTGTGTATAACTCTGCGGCGAGCCAATGCCTACGCAGCATGGTGAAACACAGGTAAGTCGGCCTCCTCCGTCCCATTACAATGAGCAGCTCCTAATTTTAAAGATGCTGCATCACCAGGATGGCAGTCTGGAAAATGCCAGCACTGCAAGTGGGGGGGAAGCACTCCGTCTTAGCCTAACTCTGCTCCTACCTGAGTCAATTGGATGCAGAGGGTACGCACGTCTCTCGCCGTCAGTGTGGTGTGTAGTCGGCACACACCTCACTTCATGTGCCTTTGTTTTATGTGGGCATCGCTTAAGTAACACTAGTAGGAAAAACCGATGAGGATGGAAACCAGTGGAATCTGGCAACCTTGCGCATGGGCCGTATCCAGAACTGTGTGTACATGCTTGTCAAACACACCCGCTCGCCTTTGGGGTAAAGGCTTGTAGATGGAAACACTGGCTGATGTAGGGCAGAGTTGACTCTTGTAACTGGATAACAGGGCAAGCAGGGTTGTGAGGCTTCCTTGGGGCATCTTGAACTATGTCACCTTGTTATCTCTCTGCCTCTAACACCAGCCGATTTCTTTGATGCAAACTGGGTAACACCTGCTCCCTGCTGCTCCCAGTTTACCAGACCCCACAGAGGACTCTGCCTGCCTTGACTTTGCCTCTTAGATTACACCTGTGTGTGTGTGTGGGGGGGGGGGGGGTGGACACTCAGAAATCACCAAATCCACTGTGCCTTTAGAGACCGCGTATACATCAGCTTGCTTGGTTTTAACCAGGAATTCACAATCTGCTTAATATAACAGCACTGACTTTGTTCTGATAAAATAAATGTATTAACCAAGAATTGAAACGTGATGCTAAGCAAGATTAACGGACAGAAATGGTTACAAGTTAAACAGTGTTCTACAAATGCCTAACACTTAACGGACTACAATCCTTGACTTAAGGTTTAACTTTAGATAGGAAAAAGTGCCTATTCAGCATTACCCACCTGCATGGCAGGGGCATCTGCCTTTCTTGGATAACCTCTCCTTGCTTGGCCTTCATATTCCTCAAGGTCTGTCACCAGAGTTGGGGTCAGTCCCTGGGGGTCAGACTCGAGCGTGTTAACATGAGGCTGTGAAAGCAGCATGGCAATATGTTCTTCAGAGAGAAAACCAGGAACCACCCATTGAACATGGTGATGGCGGATATGGCTCTCCGTAGATGGGGAGGCAGCTGTCCTGCCTCTGTCTGGAAGAAAATTAGGTTTTTCTTCCAATTTGATCAGACTTAAAGCATAATATCAGCAAGTGTCCATAATTCCTTACACGTGTATTCTTAATACGTGTATTCTTGCAACGCTATTCATGACCGTTGTCACCGGCTTTCATTTGATCTCTTAAACAGTCAAACTACAAACCAGTGGGGCCCCTCTGCCAGTTGTCACTGAAGAGCTCTTAGGTTACAGGGGTGTCTTGAGGGATTTTGGGTGTGGGTTGGTTTGTTTATTTGTTTTTGGTGTGTGGTGGTTTTTTAAACCACAGGCACAAGGGGGGAAAATTTTGGTTTGCTTCTCTTCCTTGCAGGGGCTTTGTTTGGACATATGATGTAATCATTCTAATAAATGCCATCTTCATTGCTCTGGATGAGAGAAACCCACTGATTTCCTATGCAGAGTGGGTTTTCCTTTCTTTATATATCCTTGAGATCCTCTTGAAAGTGTACACGTATGAACCCAGGGCGTTCTTTGCAAAGACTCAATTCTGGAACTGGTAAGTAGGGTGCTGAGTTGGGGCATTGTGGTTTGGGGGTCGAGGGGATATGGGAAGGATGTCTTGTAATTTTCTTTCAGTCGCAGCCAAAGCAACATTACATTTTATCCCTTTACCTGTTAAGACTTTTTCAGTCGCAGCCAAAGCAACGTTACATTTTATCCCTTTACCTGTTAAGAGCTGGCTGTTTTTACAAGGAGAATCCAGTAAAGTTCATACTTACACGTTGGTTGTGCAGCTAAAGCAATTGCAAACATGAGATGGCAAGACACATGCACTTAACTCAAACTGGAGTGCAGGCTTAGAAAACAGGACTGGGCTCTGGGGGTGGCTTTTTAAAAGGAAATATGGGTTTTGTTTTTTTGATAACTGGGCTTATGCTAGTTTGTTTGTAAATGACTACTGCATGAGGGCCTGAAAGTGGGTGTGGTAACTCAGGTGTGTATCCCCTTTGCCCTAAATCTATTAGGAATGTCAAGCTATGGCTGTGTCACTGAGGCTATGTCTACACTACACTTCTTTTTTTTGGAAAAAGTACGCAAATTGCCCTCTGCAATTTGTACCTTTTTCGGATTCTTTTTTTCGGAAGAGGCTTTTCTGAAATTTTGCCTGTCTACACTGGGCCAAACTTCAGAAAAACTTCCCTCTTTCAGAAGAGCCCTTCTTCCTCCTGAAACGAGGTTCACAGGGCTTCTGAAAAAAAGTGCTTTTCTTAAATTTTTTTCAGAAGGGGCAGAGTTTTTCCAGGATACTTCCGGTATCCCGGGGGGGGGGGGAGAAACTCCATAGTGTAGACGTAGCCTGAGCCATGGGGGCTCGTGCATAAGAGCTTTATTGTACTTTGATTTAAAAAAAAAATGGGGTGCAACTTACATGCCTGCTGCAACTTACATGCCTGCTACCAGAAACAATTATTGGTTCTGACAATCCATTAGCGAATTCCCCTCTCTTCTTTTCCCCCTTGCCCCCCATGCTGTCCCCACTAGTTCTCCTGTTGTCCAGGGTGTTGATGCATGGCTGGGCTTGAATTTTTAAGGTAAATGAGCAAAAGAGCATCCCAGATCTCCTCCTTTTCTCCACTGTGAAGAGTTTGGGGGGGGATGGACAACAAGTCATTCTCTCTCCTCCCCACCCGCACTTTTTTTGTCGGTCACGCATGCAAACAGTATGTCCAATAAAGAAACTTTACTTAGTCCCGTATGGCTGTTTCAGTGTCTGCAGTAACCCAAGGAGCCTTTCCTGGGGCTGAGTGCCCTGTCCTGGGCCTATTGTCCAAACTCCAACTAAAATACAGTCCCTTCCCCCAAAGAAGTCGCAGTCCAGCCTTTAGGGGGGAGGCATAGCTCAGTGGTTTGAGCATTGGCCTGCTAAACCCAGGGTTGTGAGTTCAATCCTTGTGGAGGCCATTTGGGGCAAAAATTTGTCAGGGATGGTACTTGGTCCTGCTGTGAAGGCAGGGGACTGGACTCCATGACCTTTCAAGGTCCCTTCCAGTTCTAGGAGATAGGCAATCTCCATTAATTTTAAATTTTAAGGCCCAAACCTGCAAATGCTCCAGCACACAGATGGTCCCTCTGGCTGAGTAGGAATACTTGTGCATGCTGAACTTTGAGCATATGCTTTAGTGCTTTCAGATTAAGGCCTTGTGTTGTGTCCATCCCTATTGGTATCTGAATGCCCACACAACACTCCGGTGTGCGCTGGCGCCATCCGTGTAATAGAACAATCTTTCCTCCAACACTAGGTTCGATACCTCCATCATCATTGCTGCTCTGGTGGCTACAGTTCTCAACACTCTGCTTAAGTCAAGTAAGCCCAACGTTACACTTTAAATCTTTTTCGGTGGTGCTAGCCTGCTATTCGTCTACAAGTGGCAGTGAAATTATATTGTGGGCTTGTTGGACTTTGATGCATCTCCTAGCATTGGGATCATGACTTTCACTGAAACCTGCAAAGATTTCTGCATTGGGGGGGGAGGGAGGAAGAGAAGTATGAAAAGATATAAATAAAAACCAGCAAAAGAATGAACCCATAACCTCTGCCTACTCTCCAAGGGTAGTGTTGTTTAGATTACTGTGTAGCTTGTGTTTATTCCAGCTAAGTCTGTAATGCTGCTCTAAATTACTTTTTCAGTTAAATCCAATACCTCTCATATTGGAAGCGGGGGCAGAAATAAACTGCTTTATTTTATCTTGGATTTGGACATACAAACCACCTGTCACAATCTGAAGTGTCATATACACAGCTCTGGTGCATGTTTTCGAGGATGCTAGAAACAGAACATCTTTTGATGCATAGCCATCTCGGTCTGCTTCTGCTAGTGTACTGTGACTGATGGGGATGCTTTCTGCATTTTGCTTAGTCATTGCATTCGCCTCTGTGATAAGCAAACAGGGCAGCATCGGAGAGCCGTAGATACTAAAGTCTCTGGTGCTGCTTTCTTCTTCAGCCAGTCAATACAACAGCCAGCAAGTGCTGGATATTGTCTTCATCCTGCGAGTCCTGCGACTTCTCCGGATCGTGGACAGCATTAAGAGGTAAAGAATGTAACAGGGCTGTAGCCCTCTACCACTGCAGTGAGCTGGTTTAGAGCAGGGGTTGACCACTTTTCCCAAAGTGGTGTGCCAAGATTTAATTTACTCGCTTCTGTGTACAATCTGCATGCCACTGATACTTTTTACAGTCCATAATAAGCCTATTGACCTTGAAGAAGCTTCATTAATCTCTCTGTAGTCTCAAGTGTGCAATGCATCCACCACCACCACCCGTCCTGCCCCCACATCCCTATGCCCCCAGCACACACGCCGGCAGGGCAGCAGCGGTGGGGACTTGGTCCCCAGGAGCAGTGCTGGGATAAAGAAACCACAGGGGAGAGGGCCGGGCCTGGCCACGTGTGGCTTCCAGAACAGGAGGTGGCCGGTGGCCGTGTGCCATTGTGCTGTACGTAGCCGACCCCAGGCCTAGAGGCTGGCCGGGGACTGGGGTTCACATCCGCTGAGCGGATATGGATGTAAGTGGTACTGGTGTAGCTAGCAGCATCCGTGCCCCAGCTGGTTTTCCAAAGGGGCTTTGATAGTGGTGTAGTTATTCCCATATGGGAAGCAGAATTAAGGCCTCTTACTCAGTACAGCCCTATCCCGGTATAAACTGTGTTATGGCTAAAGGATTTTGTCGCTGTTGGTGACGCATCGCCCTCTCCCCAACATAGCTTGTACCAGTGGGACTCCAGTTCAGCCTAGGTGTTCAGGCCCCCAACAACCCTCTTCCCCAATGGGAATAAGGTGTCCAAGTGAGAGCCCGCTAGAGCAGACAAAGCACCAGCTGAGGCAGATGGGATTTTTTC